ATAAGGATCCAGGAGGGGTGGGAGAAGCTGGAAGCAGAGGTATTTGGAGGTATAGGGGGAAGAGGGGATTAATTAATTGTACAATTTGATGGGTGGGGGGGATGAAGGAAATTAAAAGAATTTGTTTGAATTTGTCTTAGAATTTTGTAAATAAACTAGTAAAAAAAAAAGGAAAATAAAATACATTGGGGTGGGGGGGTGGGGGGGAAGGAATAACTCCATAGGTATGACTGGAATTCCAGAAAATGAGAGGGTTAAGGAAATCACTGAGGAAATTGTGGAAGAAGTACTAGAAGAAAACTTTCCAGGTATTATGAAGAATGAGGAAATCCACATTCAGGAAGCTTCAGTGAATACCAAATAGACTAAACCCAAACAGGAAAACATCAAGACATATCATAGTCAAATTCCTCAAAATCATAGATAAGGATAGTATACTGAAAACAGCAAGAGAAATACAAAGAGTCACCTACAAAGGAAAAACCATCAGATTAAGTTCATATTTTTAAGAAAAAAACATGTGAGCAAGAAGACAATGAGATGGCATATACACAAAGTTGAAAGAAGACAATTGTCAACTAAGGATCCTGTATCCAGCAGTTTCCCATCAAATATGAAATCACATTTTTGCAGAAAACCAAGAATTTAAAGAATGTGTTGTAACGAGACCAAATCTACAAGAACCTTTAAGGGAAATCCTACACACAGAGACATCAAAGGAAAGTAGACGGATCATAGTAACAAGAAATAACAAAAAAAGAAACACAGCATAATGGTAATGATAGAATGTGACCTGTCAATAATCACACTTAATGTGAATGGACAAAATGTACCAATCAAGAGAAAAAGAGTTAGCAGTATGGATAAAAAAAACAAATCCCATCAATATGTTGTCTATAAGAGACACATCTAAGAAATTAAGAGAAAGACAGACTCAAAATCACAGGCTGGAAAAAATATATACCATGTAAATGGCATGCATAAAAAAGTAGTAGTGGCAATACAAATAATCTCTGATAAAAACAGACATTCTTCTAGTGGTATAGCACTGGTCTGTCCATTTGCTGTACAGAGTTAACTCCTGGTTGTTGTGATGTGAAACATTGTGATACTTATGTGTCAAATGTGATAATGGTTACCTATGGTGGACAGAGTTTGGTGGAGCTTCCCAATTAAAACAAACTTCGAAGCAAGAAGGGCATCCACTTCTGAAATACCCTGCCTCTGGAAACTCTATGAACATGGAGAAACGATGAAAGTTATACAAGTGTTCAGGGTTTTTGTTCATAGGGTTGCTATGAGTCGTCTACGACTCGATGGCACTTAACAACAACAAAACAGATTTCAGAATAAAAACCACCATAAAAAATAAGGATGGGCCCTATACAGTGATTAAAGGCACAGTAGATAAAGAAGATAGAACATTGGTCAACATCTATGCATTAAATACATTAAAAAAACTGTAAAGAATTGAAGAAAGAAATAGCACCACAATAGTAGTATGAGACTTTTAACACATCACTCTCATCAAAGGATAGGTCGACTCAAAGGAAACTTAACAAAGATGCAGAAGATCTAAATAACACAATCACTCAACCACGTGGATATATTCTGAGCACTGCACCCAATTAAAACTCAATTCACTTTCCTCTCAAGTGCACAAGGTACATTCTCCAGAACTGATCACATATTAGGGCACAAAGTAAGCCTCAACAAACTAAAAAACACCAAAATAATACAAAGTATCTTCTCAGATCACAATACTAGGCCATAAACTAGAAATTAATCACAAGAAGATAAAGCTTATAAAGCCACCAACATGGAATCAAATTAACA